AGTTTTTTAAGTTTCTTCACTGCAGAGTACAGCAAGTTTCATTTCATCTTCAAAACAAGGCATTAAAGATAATGTATTTTCAAAATTAAAAATTCAATCCTAATTTACTTTATCTTACTTTTAAGATTTTCAAACTTTGTGATCTTCAACTCCTATATTGCCAGTTTGTTTGAAATCACCTACACAAAAACTTACCCTTTCAACAACTTCTTCCCTAAAAGTGCAAATACTTTCTTTGATTCATTAACAATCTGAACCTACCAGTATTAAAACATTGTTTTGCTACTTATGTTCTGTTAATTATGGGCATAAGTCTATAAAGTATCAAAGTATAAAATCTTGGAATAAACTTCTCTATGACCTAAAAACTCTCCAGCCATACTATGTTTTTAAAAGCAACTTTTTCCACTCTTTCCTAAATAAATACTTTTAATATATCCAAAATTTTGTGTATGTATATAAGTGTGTGAATTTGTGTGTGTGTGTTTGTGTGTGTTATCATTGTCATTATTGTTATTATTACTACTTCCACTCTTATTATTAATTCTATTACAATTGTTATTAATTACTATTATATTATTATTAATGTTATTGTTATAACCTTCAGCAAGGTTTTTACTTAAGATTAGTGCATGTACTATTTGTAAATATCCATGAAACGTAATAACTAATTTAGAAATAAATAATGATTGATTGATTGTTCCACCTGCATTGATGAGATAAATATTTAGAAATCGAATGACAACTTGGCTTTATTCTACAAAGTAAACAAATATGATATACTTTACATGTACTTTAATCATCATCAGTAGGTTCATCCGTCATAGTTCTGGATGAAACTGAAAAAAAGTTGTTTCACTGACAACATAACTGCTTGTATGCTGATTTTGTTTTCATGGTTTCAATAATTTTTTCTGACACAGTCCACCAATGCTTGAAGATTTGAAAGTTTGCAATTTCATCTTTCATTAGCCAGTAAATTGTATGTGTTACAGGTCACAGTTTATTGATTACAAAGTATATGATTCACTTATGCATGGAAAACAGATTGCCCCCTGGTGCTTTATGGAAGACAACCACTATATTGTATTTTTTCCTGATGGATCTTTAAAAGATAAAACTGGCAATAGAAGAAAATTAGATTAGTACTTTTTTCTAATTTAATACTGCTCTGTTCACTAAGAAAATTTTTAGCACTCTTTTTATGAAAGCACTTCAACAATACAATTAGAATTTTTAGTCTATGGTTTCTTATAACATAAATTTTTGTTTTACAAATTAACCACCTCTCTTTTATCACAGCTGCATAGATTTTCTGCATCCAATTAATTACAGACTGTATTCTGTTCCATTTTACTTTTAATATCTCATCAGATGGTAAGATTTTTTTTGTAATTTAGATTCACTCCTAACAAGACTGCAAGCAACCACTATTAAGTTTTGAGTTACTAGAAAATAAAGGTTGACAGAAGACTTGAAAGGTTGTAGGTTGTTTGAGTCAGGCAAATATGAAGATAGAAGAGAGTTCTAAAGGGCCAAAGTGTCGAAAAAAAAACTAGACAAATGAAAGTTTTTAAGCATGCTGGGACAAATACAGTAAAAGAATGAGACTTTGCTGAATGAAGAGTCTAGCAAGAAAAAGTTTTTGTTGATTGAACTAGATATAATAGCTCTTTTGATAAGCAACCATGATAGTATTTGTAGAATAGCGAAAGAGATGCAACTTTGCAACAATAGGAGAGAGGCTCAAGCTTGTCAGATAGAGCAAGTCTAACTATGCGTTTTTGGACCTTGTCTGGAAGAGAAAAAACATCATAGGAAGAACCAGCCTAAATATGGCAACAGTATTCTACACAAGCTTGTTAGATATTTGTCGAGGTAGAGAGTAAGGTAACAAAACAGGATCAAGTATAGAACCTTAAGGCAACCTTGAAGTAGAGTGTTAGCCTTTGAGGATGACTTTAATGAAGCGAGTAGAAAGAAAAGTTTTGATTATCTCAAAAACATTCCAAAATAAACCATATAAGGCAAGCTAATGAAGAAGACCAGCTGCCAAACTTTAGATATATCATGAGTAATGGCCTTTGGCTTGCTGCTTCTATCTAATGCACTATAAAATATGAAACAGTAATTTATTTGACTCAAGATGGGATGTTTGTTGATCAAAGATGAGAAATTTGTTGATCAAAGATGGGAAATTTGTTGATCAATGATGGGAAATTTGTTGATCTAAGGCTCAAAGACTTTGCTAATAACAGAAAGAAGACTGGTCAGACCATAGATGGAGGGGTCAAAACGTTCTCCACAGTTTTTCAAAATTGGAACCACAGATGTCATTTTCCAGCAGGCAGGAAAACAAGATTCAGACAAGCATTTATTAGTTTAGATCGAATTGAAGAAATTTATGTAAAATATTTTTGTAAGACTAGAACTGAAATGTTGTCTGACTCACAAGCTATAGAAGAGACTGTTTTGCTTTGCGAATTTCTACTTTTTCTATTTTGGTTTTGAAAATGATAAATTTTTTTTCATCTCTATTATTTGGCATCCAGCAGATATTATTTTGTATATCTTTTATAATATAATTCAAGGATCTATTATATTGTAAGAAAATCTTTTAACATTATCTTTAAAATCTTTTTTCACCCACATGATAATAAAACAAGACTTTTAACACATTTCTATGAGATAGAAGTATTGTTTAGTTCAGCTCTAAATTTGTTTTCAGTTCTTTCAATCAACCAGATTGCATTTGCAACACAGGTCACATGAGGTATTGACCAAGTTGTTTACAAAAAATGTGTATACGATAATACATTATAGTATTAAATAGGCTGGTTTACAAATGCTATACAACATGCTATATGACATATTTTATTACACAAATTTCTGAATATAATGAATAGCATTCAAAAATTTTTTTTTCCTAAATTTTAACAACTAATACAAATTTTTATTTATTAATTGTTAATTATTTTGACTATTTCACCTAAAAGTCTAATTTAATAATTTTTTAAATATAAATTAAACTAGTTTATAAACCCGATCTAAATAAGTATTGAAATACTTTTCTTTTATAAAAAAGTATGCCCGCTAAAATCTAAACCCTCAGTAAACCTATGTGTATACCCCACTCTGCCTATTCATATTTAAGTCAGTCAATGTATGTACACTTCACTGTGACTTTGGCTATTACAGTTAATTTATGGAAGCATTGATGCGTTTAATCTATGCAACTTTGAAAAAGAAAAAATAAATGATAAATAACAATAAAAGTTATAAGACATTAAACTATTTTGAAATTAAACTGTTTTGAAGCCTGCAAACTTTTTCAGCTGCATCTGAAAATTTTATTATTTTAACATCTGCAGCATTATGCCCATGATTTTACTTATGCAAAAAATCAAAGTGTTTATGTAAAAAATCAGTATTTGCAAAGTATTTAAACATTTTTTGCCTGCAAATGATGTTTATACTATGTGTAAATTATTTGTATGCGCATGCAAACAATGATTTTCTTTTCAAACACATGAGATATTTTTAGTTACACAAAATGCATTTATATTTCTGGATTTTTTCAGGGAATTTTTTTAAAATTTTTTACTGGATTTTTTTCTGAATATTTTTTAAAAAAAGTTTTCCAAATTTTCAAAATATGACCTGGATTATCCCTGAAATGTTCATCCTTGGTGCTCTGTGATAAAAGTAAGGTCTTCTTGGAACATCATAAAAATAAAATAAATAATATGTATATGTTGTATAGTGGACATACAGTGACAGATTTAAGATGGATAGGTAGAGCAGAGTTTACCTGCATTTATTATTTTTTTTTATGAATAGGTGCAAGAATATATACACAACACTACACTTTTCACCTATTTTGGTAACAATAAAGACTTTCTAAATAATCTTGGGCTGGTTGCCGTCAAAAAATAATTCTTATAAGCTTATTTGTAAAACCCATTTTGTACATACATTTGGGGGTGGTTTGTGGTGTCTACCGATATTAATAAATAGAAAAGTCATTTTCAACTTTTTACATTATCTTTTGAAGTTGCTTTTTATTTTTTTTTATGTTCTGAATATAAAGATTTTTTATGGATAATTTTTTTACAGTATAGTGCTTTTATTATATTTTGCTATATTCAATTTCTATAATGCTATCTTGAATCCAAAACACATTTTTAGACAAAGAAAAAGTTGACAGTCAAAGTTGTCATAATCTTGTTTTCTCTAAAAGTTGAGATAATAAAGTTTTAAAAATTATTTTTAAAGCAATTTTTTTCTAAACACATTTTGTTGTATAAATTAATTTTTTTTTTTTCAAGTTTATTTGTGTTGTTTGTAAGGTTTTTATAATAAAAAAGTTATGCATATCTTTTTTTTTTCATCCAGATGCAATTATATTGATATAATATTGTGTTTTTTTTTAATTGTAAAACTACCCAATCGAATTTTTAAAACCTTTCCAAGTTTTTTGTGTGTTTTATATCAAAGTTTTTCATCTCCTAGTTAGGTTTTCTACATTACTACTAAAGAACCTCATCTGCTCTTAGAAATAGTAAAATGTTTAATATGTAATAAGCAGTAGTATAATAGCAGTAATTACTTAAATTTATAAATATATTATTACTGTTAATTAAAATTTATAAATATATTACCGTAATTGTATTACTGTTAATAATATTACTGTTAATTAAAATTTATAAATATGTTATTACTGTTAGTTGAAATTTATAAGTATATTTTTAGTATTAATAGAAATTTATAAATATATTAATACTGTTAATTGAAATTTATAAATATATTGTTACTGTTAATTGAAATTTATAAATATATTATAACTTTTGATTGAAATTTATAAATATATTATTAGTGTTAATTAAAATTTATAAATATATTATCACTGTTAATTGAAATTTATAAATATACTATTACTGTTAGTTAAATTTATAAATATATAACTGTTAATTAATTTTTTTTTAAACTTAACAATTTAGATTCTTTCTGATAAAGAAAAAGATTTTAAGCTTGAGAGACCACGATTTGAACTTTTAAAGTATGATGTTCATCCAAATGCATTGACTCAGAGTGGAAACTATCATTTTTCTTGTGAGACCATTATTTCTGTTAATTTTTACACTAGCACATTTACATGCATACATACACATGTTATGCTATTGTGAAAGTGTCTATAATGTTAATGATTTTATTTTGCCATGGCTTTTAACATAAAAAAATTATTTTCGTTAAACTGTATACACAGTTTTTTAGAGCAACTTATTATTTTTATTTTTAGCTCCATACCAGGCCATTTGTGAGTTTATAGATAATGGAATTCAAGCAACAAATGACAATCCTATTGCTCGTGATATTACCATATATATATTTTCAACCCAGGTAATGACAGTTATGTAATTGGTTATCACTAAATTTCCAGAATGCGTTAAATCAAATGTTTATCAAATTAATTAATAACATATAAATTAACAAATTTGGATATAGGCAGGGAAGTACATATAAAGAAATAAAGTTTATGAATTCTTTTCTTCTGTTTCTTTTCTTTTTTTTGAAAAAATGATTTTGGTAAAAACTAAGTTTTTTTATTATTATTTTAAAATCTTTAATTAGATTTTAAAATAATAATAAAAAAACTTTGTTTGCTGACGTCAGTTATTTGAAAAAGTTTTTTTCTGTATTATATTTTGGCTTTTTAATGTTATCTTTTTAACGGTTTGTTTTTACTATAACAATTTTTGTAACTATTTTATTTATTATACCTTATGACGCTGATCACAATAGATCAGCGAAATATCGAAATAATTATATATTAAAGTATATATATATTTAAAAAAAATTGTTATACGCAGCCGTATTTATTGAATTCTAACCATATTTTAACGTATAACAAAAAAATGACATTAAAAGATAGATATATAAATCTAATATCTAAACAACCCTGCTAAAAAGAAGATGAGGTAATTTTAGCTATTGAAAATTATCAAGAGAGAGGGGCAAATCTAAAATTGAAGTTTTGAATTTTTCACTTGGATGAGACAATATGTGTTTTTTCCATATTGTCAATTTTTATAAATACAATAACATAAATACAAAATTTCAAAACAAAACAGCTTGAGCAATAAAAACTTGTAATTATTAAAAAAGTTTTCATATATTACACATGATCCTGAATAAAACATTGTTTAAGAGGATTTTTTACATTTGTATATAAAATTCGTTTATATAAATGTTTATATATAGGAGCAAGTTTATTCCTATGAAATAAAGCTGTGCTTATTAAAGAACCCGCTCGAAAAGTGTTGATTAATTGCAATCGGTACAAGGGTTTATAAAATAGTTGTTTTTTCGATAGATCAGTGGTTTAATTTGCTGTCATTGGTGCCATTTTGTGAGGATTTAAATCCTTCCCTTAATACAATATATTTTCAACTTTTTCAATCTGACCATATATATTTATAGCTAAAAAATTAAGCTAAAAATTAAGCTAAAAATTAAATTATTTCTTAAAATAAAGTTTAAAGTTTTTTTTAGCTACAGACTTTTTTATTTTTTATTTTTTCCTCCTTAGCAGCACCTTCTGGAGTAGCAGGACTGTCTCATTAAATTTTATCTTTGTTAAGTTTCAGACAACAATTTTTTTTTCAGACCATCTGCAGCTTATTAGTACTAATTACACTAATTAGCACATTAATATTTTATTAATATTTGTAGTTTAATATTATATGTTGTATTCAATACATGCTGTAAACAAATGGCATTGCATAATAAAAACAAAAAAGGTAATCCCATGTTTAATCTTCTGATAATTGCCACAGTTTCTTAATATCTTAGAATCACACTGACCAGAGGAAATCAATTTTGATATTACTGTGATTTGTATCTTCATTACTATCATGATGCAGATAAATTTTGTATTTTGGTGATAACATTTTTTTTTTAATTTTGACTGTTTGTTAATATTATGGTTGAATAAGGTTGAATCTTTTATCTTTTTACTAATACAACAATAGTTTCTGCGTTTTTTAAACTATCATGTACCATCTACCATAATTTAGTTAGTCACAAAATGCTGAATTTAGCAAAGTTACATCTCATTACTGTGACTGTTCCTATAATAAAATAAAAAAGAAAAGTTTTGAAACTAATAAAATTTTTCTTTAGAAAATAATTTGTATCCTTGATAACGGAAAAGGAATGTGTGCAGAAGAAATCAAGGCTTTTTTAAGTTACTTTCTAACACAAAAAGATCGCGGTATTGATTATGAAGAACCTTTGAGCTACGGCTTTTTGGATGGCAATATCTCAAAGTTTGGTGTCGGTGCTACACAGGCTGTATGAATTTTGTATTTTAATTTGTTTTGTATGTTATATAATAGGATATACTTTAAATTATGTATTTTTTATATTAAATATATTTTATATGTTATAGAGTAAAATGCGGTCAAATGAAATAGTTAAGAGTTTAAAATTTTTTGTCAGGAAAAAGATTAAAATTTTTTTTTCTTGTTGTGGAGAATTTTGAGCTATATTTAAATACATAAAAATCAAAAAAATTGTTTTATTATAAAAAAATATTTCATTCTATCTCTTATGTTTGGAATAATAAAATATGCAAGTTGACAGGTAATTAAAAAAAATACTCTATTAAGATAAGCAACCAATTATAAAAATTAAAAATCAACCAATTAATAATTTTTTTTATGCTTGCGATCATGAGTAATTCTGGTGGTTAAGTTTTCATTTGTGTGTTAAAAACTTCAATTTTTGATGCAATAAAACTTTTGTTTATGGGGATATTTACATATTGGATTGGTATGTATGTTTAACAAAGCCAAACCTTGCATTTTGAGTTTTTACATTGACATCATTCACTATTATAGCTTATTAAAGCTTCACCCTAAACTTAAAGGCTTTTTTTACAATTGATTTGGTTTGCTGTATTTGCTACTGCTATTGTTGTTGTTGTTGTTGTTGTTGTTGTTGTTGTTGTTGTTTTTGTTGTTGTTGTTAGAGTCCCTATTTTTTCTTGATTTCTTTACTGCTTATCATCAAAGTTAAGCTTACATTGTTTCCGAGCTGCTTTTTCAACAACTTAGGTGGAGATGCTGGTGTTTCAAATATATTAGCAATTTGTAATTTTGAATAATTGGTTTTATTGATGGCAAGTGAAAACAAAAGAACATTTTAAACTATAATTTTCTGTGTGCCCAAAACTGTTCTGAGTGATAAAGTATTGCCAGTAGTTTGGATGCTTAACTTATAACTCCACTGGTAGATGTGGATGCATCCACTGGATACCACTCCACTGGTAGCTTATAACTGTCAGTGGATAGAGCTTGAACCAATATTAGAGTACGTCTAGAAAACAGACAAAACTGACCTTGGTGTTGCAAAAGTCAGTTTTTTTGATTCATCTTTTATAGTTAATAGTTTAATAGTTGGTTTAAAATTTAGATGAGGAAGTTATCAAGATTCGTTTTTTCAGGTTAGACATAACCAGTTATAAAAGGCCCATTTACCAATTTAACAAATAGCATGTTTTATTTAACTCCATAGTTCAACATTTCCGTTTTTAAGTGGTTTTAATGTTTTTAACTTTTCACAAAAAACAGTAAATTTAATTTAAAATGTTTTATAAAAGTATATTTAAAAAAAATAATTTTTCCCTAATTTACCCTATTTATACTGTGCTATTTTAAGATTATATTAATTGTAAGAATCATATGTTTATAGGGCTTTTACCTTGGAAATACAATAAAAGTTGTAACAAAAACAAAAGACTCCAAGTTTATCAATGAAATCTCTATATCAAAGGTATTTTTATTTTGTAATAGTTTATAATTTTCCAAACTTTTCAAATCTTCATTTCAAATCAAGGTTTTCTTTAATGTTTGGAATAAGATGTTTCTAGCAGTCCCTTCACTTCATTGCCCCCATATCCAATGTCTTCTGCTAAGTTGAAGTGGCGTTAAACTAATCAAAGAAGAAATGCAGTGAAATAGTGAAGAATACAAGAATTCAATGACAGCTATTTTTTTTTTTGCTAAAGATGACATATTCAGTCAAAATTGGAAATGCACAAAATATGAATCAATATTTTGTAATAAATGAATTTTTTAAAAGTTTAAAAGTTTAAAATTTTTTTTAAAAGTTTAAGTTTAAAATTTTTATTAAAAGTTTTTTTTATTAATATAATACAAAAATCTTACTTAGATTTGTCTGATTTGTTTTTTGATTGTTTTGATATTGATTTGATATTATTTGGGTAACAGTACTATTTACATAAAACTTACACATTAAAGGGATTCCAAACTCCCAACACATGTTGTGTTCATAATAAAGGTAACGTTGAAAAAAAAGGTTTGAACCAAGTTTCTCTGATTAAAAATAAATAATGAATGCATGCTGAGAAAAATATTTGACATCACGGTAGACTTTATAAACAAATGAAAAGTGTAATTCTGCGTTGTAGTATGTTTTTAACATACAACAAAACAAATTTATTTATATTGTTTTTCCAAACATCGCAAAAAAAATTTTGTAAAAAGTAAAAATGATAAATTATTTTTATTTTAGCTTATATTTTACAGATACAATAATTTTTAGATTTATATATCTTACTTATATTTCTTTTGTTTTTAAATTAAAACAAATATTAATGCTTTACTTACCAATCTTATAATTTTCATATGAGTATTTTACATTATATAGAACGTTATATATATGGTCTCTTATTTTTGTGCAAGAGAACGCAGTATTATATATTCTGAATCTTACTAATTTTTATTTAAAGAATGGAACTATTTTCTAACTTCTCTGGTCGTTTTTACGCAATGACAACTTCATACCAATTAGAACCTGTTAAAGTTATGAAAAAAAAGTACAAGAATACACTAAACAATACAGTTGACAATAGTATCAGATATGTAAATTTGAGAAGGGATTTGCGAGATCCTGGTTTTGCATTACTAGTACAACCAAAAACAGCACAAGTCGGCATTATAAATTTTGATTATGAGTTTACTATTTAATATTTTAAAACCATCAAAATGAAAACATGAAGTACATATATTTTTGCTCCTTTTACACAATTAACATTAAACAAAAATACAGACAAATTATTATTATTTAAAGCAATATTTAACACATTAATTATTGGCGATAATTCAAGATAGATGGTAATTTAAATTGTCAAAATGTTGTAACACGTGTTAAAAACATATTATATTTGGTATTTCCCAATTAATGTGTCGTATTTAGCATTTGTCTCTTAACATGGAAAATTGAAAAACTAACAAAATTGAAAAATGCAAGTTTTTAAGCAATTTTCTCATTTAATTCCTATTTATTTAAAGAAAAGTTATAATTAAACTTTTATTTCTCTCATTTAAAAAAAGATTGAGTGAAGAAAAATAAAATTTTAAACAACTCTTATTCATTCAAAGTTTAATTACGTAAAACTTTTCTTTCTCTTTTGTTCTACTTTTTTATAAAAAGAGCACACTTATATACAAAAAAGTTTGCATCTTTTATAAAGCTTTTATAAAAAGAACGATGAAATAAAAACTTTTCTTTCTTAACATAGAATTAAACTTAGAGATAAAATTAAATTAGCAAAAAATCAACAATGAGCAGTGCAACTAACAGTCCAATCTGGGAATCTGGGAACTAACAATCTGGGACTATTTTGATATTGATGAAAATGATCAACATAAACAACATAAACAATAATAATCAATTAAACAACATAGACTCGCATAATTTTAGGGTTTTTTTTATTTATTGCTTAGTCAATCTAAATAATAAGTAAATTTAGTTCAAGTTAATATTTCAATATTTACAGTTGCAATATAATATAAAAAAAATGTTTAATGTTAAAATTTTTATTTAGCTATTTATTTTCTACCTACATTTGTTACAAAAAGACTTTTAAACCCCGGTCATTAAAATCATTTGTTTAAAATATAAAAATAAATAAAAAATTTTCCAGAGTTTTATCTGTCAAAAGTCAACCGTGACATTAAATACTAAAACTTTTATGAATTAATCGCGCTTCAAAGGAATCGCCGAAAAATGTAGATTGCGACGTATAATTTAAAGACTTCGATTTATTGAATAAAATGGAGAAGGCGAGCTTTGGCTAAGACAACAACATTAGTTTTTCGCGGTGTGTATTAATTATTTATTTTTAATCAAAAAAACTTGGTTCAAACCTTTTTTTTTCAATATTGTCTTTAATATGAACACAACATGTGTTGGCAGTTTGGGATCCCTTTAATAAAGTTATTTATCTCAAAGAATAAAAATATTGTCTTTAATATGAACACAACATGTGTTAGCAGTTTGGGATCCCTTTAAAAAAATTATTTATCTCAAGGAATAAAAACCCAGAAAGACTCCAACAGTTGCTGATAATGATTAGTCAAACAGCAAACTGATGATTGAATAACTGAAAATTGTTAATCATTGGTAAATGTTGATGCTTTTTGTTATAGATTACTTTTTAAATTAGATTAATCAACAACTACCAAGATTGCAAATGTTGTTTATTCAATTCGGAAATCTAGACAGTTCAATTTTAATAATTCAGACCAGTCAACATGATGGAAAACATGATTAGGGAAAATAATTCTGAAATAATAATGCTGGGAAGAATAAAACTTTTATTCCCAGCAGTATTATTTCAGAATTTTTTTTTTTAATAATAAATTTTAAGGATAACAACAAATAAAACTTTCCGGTTTATAAAGAATGTTAAGAGTAACAAGTTTTGTTGGTCAAAACAAGAGAAGCTCATTTTAGCAGCCACAATCCATTTTTTATAAATTGTCTTAAAAAGAAAAAGCATCATTAAAAGAACTAGCTCAGATAAGTAAACAGTATTTTAGCCAAAGAATAATGAGAGGTTTATAAAGATATTAGATATCAGAAATAAGAATGCTGAACTGACAAATGCTTAGCACTGTTTATTATGATGTTGAATGCTAAATTTATTGTGTTGTAAGATTGCACTGCATGTTTTGCAAACAATGTAAAGCTTGCATATAAAAACATATATTTTCTATTTTGTGTATATGACCTGGAACTCATCAATTGAAATAGACAATGTTATGGTACACTTCATTGTACTAATATTTGTTATGAGTGAGTGGGATATAGAAGCTTAAAAGAATTTTTACTAACACTCAAATTATATTCAGAAAATATACAAATAAATATTCAAAACAATATGCATATTTATTGGTATAATTGAATTGATTTCTAAGTTTGGAAAAAGTTATTTCCTGTAATCTGTATAAAAATATAAAAAGTATAAAGATAAAATAAAGATATAAAAAATAAAAGATAAGTAAATATATAAAAATTTATATATTTATTTTATAATACAAGCACCAAAATAAAATAAGAATATTTTCTATTGCACTACTATTTAGATTTAGAAATATAAATAAGTTAAAAAGATGGATATAACTAGTTTTTCATGTTAATTCACCTTCTCAAGGTCATGAAGGCCACTACAGTCAGGGAGGCTACTTAAATTGTGGTTACAATCCTCTTTTAACTCTTTAACTCTAAAACACAAAACTTAATGAACAAGGCTGCTGTGCAAAGCAACAAGTTAAAAGCAGTACTACCAGGGGCTTGGTGGGAATTAAATTCAGAATTTCTTGCTTATGACACAACCACTCTACCGCTACACTACTACTGCATATTTATATAAATTTACAAAATATTATTTTTTTGTCACATGTTTTGTGACAGTAGTAACATAACAGGTGACAAAAATGTTTTACCAGCGACAATTCACAGCCACCAATTGAACCAGTTTTGCACTAAAAAAAAAAAAAAGTTCAAAAAACAGTTTATAAAATAATTTAAAGAATAGCATCCTTTTATAACTTCAAACTTTTCTTTTAAATTTAAATTTAAATTTAAATTTAGGATGTTTTGCACGAAAGAGCAAAGTATAATCAGCCAGTGTTTGTTGATGAAAAGTGCATACGAGCACCTGGTGATACTTCAACACTTGATTTGAATGAACTACAGTGTGTAAAGTTTTTGGTAAATATTTATTTTGAATCACATGTTTGATACTTGCTTTTTTTTTGTTTGATATTTGTTACTACTGTTTATTGTTTATAATGTTGAAAGCTTTTATGAAATGATGGTTTTTGATTAGCCTTTTATGTAAAAAAAAAAAATGAACAAATCGATGGTTAAGAGCACTAAGGGAATATGTCCAACATTTTATGGTTTTGAGTTTATGCGCGCTTGATTTTTAATTGAAACTACATTTTGCTTAACATTTATTATTAAGTAAAATTTTTATTCATCTAATCTGTTAATATTTTTGTATTTTTTTAATATAGACTTAAACAATAACAATAAATTAAAAAATTTTAAGTTTGTTGTTATTGCTAAAGTCCAAACAACTTACACTGCAACTTAAATTGCAATTTGCATTAAAACAAGTCAAAAAAGACAAAATGTCATTGAGTAAAGCTCCAAATTCAAAATACAACATAACTTTTCATAATCACATTAAAGTCCAAATTATGTAGTATATGTACAACAACTAAGACAATGATACTGAATTTAATGAATGAAAAAGTTTTTTTAAATCTATTAAATTTAAAAAGAAACCTAAATGATCAATTTTAAAAAAATTAAAAAAAATGTTTTTAAGATTATAACCAACAAAAGATGTTCATGTATTTGCTCCTGAAACCAATAATCTATACGAATTGTCTGCAAAAAGCTAAGATAAATTGATAAATAAGAATGCTACAAAAACATTTAAAAAAGCAAATGATAATTAAGAAAAATCAATAAACTTAAAAGCTAACCAAATTGTCTTAAAAGTCAGTTTGAGTAACCGAATAGAATACCTACCAAATTTGCATTTTTTACTTTAAAAGAAAACTTTAAATCAAAATTAGCATAAAAATGTACAAATAAATCAATGGAATCAATATGTTTGAGAGCAACCCAGATAATAAGAATTTTTTTTTTATTCAATTCAATATAAATGTTACCTGTCTATAACAACAGAAATGTTTAATAAAGCCATTTCCTTTGCAAAACAGCATTCCCATAATAGATGACCAATTCAATGTTATAAAACAAAGGCATGAATCTCTCTTTTATTACAACAATAGCATGTAGATAAAAAAATCATGAAAGTTTTGGCGTAACAATGACCAGCTATAATGGCACTGAAGTTTTTGAACTCATTGGGATTTACATACTCAACAGACTCAGAAATAATTAAAAAGTTAGACATAAGACTATACTGTGATGACAGAATGTTAATATCACAATGTTCTAATGGCCAAAAAACAGAATGAGCTTCAAAAAACAAAATCCAAAAATTTAAAGATTTTTATGATTTTAAATAGAAACAAATTACTAACATTATCTATTATAGAATTAAAAACAAATCTTAAACCAGTAGACTTCCATAATATAAACTTCAATTTAACAGAAAACAGCTATAAACCTTTTAAAAAACCTAAATGACAACCTCCAATACGTCTATAGTTGTTCCACCGCAAGTTCTCAAACCACCGCAAGTTCTCAAACATTTACCTATTTCTATATGTGAGAGACTTTCACAAAATTCTCAAACAAAGCAAAATTAATGTTATTGTTGCTAATGTTTATATGTAGTTCTATTTAATGAAACCCCTATTTTCACATGGTCTATCACGAAATCTGTACCCCCTACTCAAGTATTTACACAAGATGCTGAGTATGCTTAAATGAAAAATTTACATATATATCATATGAAAAACTTGAACAACTTCCAAATAAAAAATGAACAAAAATAAACAGATTAGATAATAAAATATTAACAATATTTATTTATGTCATATTTTTATCATATTTTTAAAATTATATTTATGACATATATAATTATTTATATTCATTTATGTCAAAATGACAAGATTAAGAAATATGTCAGAAAAGATTAAAAAC